AAACCGTTAGCTCCCGACAACGGCGCCAAAATGTTGATCGGGGCCAACCCTGCACTACTATTAAGTAGCGAGAGAGGTCGAAGCAGCTTTTACCCGATTTAGGGTCGGGATCGATTTCCACAGGGAGCTAGATATTGGAGTTGGGTGTCTATCTAAAGTGGAGTTGTGTATTTGCTCCAAATTGCACTTCTACACACTTTTTTTTGTTTTAATTATGATTCTAATTTTATAAACTACAATGCCCAATTAAACTACTATAAGCTAGGATTAAACTATTGCAGTTGTTCAAATGATTAAAAGGCACTAGGGTGGTGACTTTCACCTAGGTGGTCAATTGACGGATTCTTGGGTCTAAAGCTAGATTGACACATTTGGGGAGTATGATATAACCATTTCTCGATTCTACTCACTCTATCCCTCTCGGTAGTTCGAGTAATTTTGCTCGAATTGGCTTTCTCAAGACCAATTGGGTATGCAAAATTACACAAGCAATTAAGGTTCAAGTCAGGTATTACGATCTCTCGATTTACCCTTAATTGGGGCTATCAAATCTCTTGAGTACGCCCCAATTCCTTGTTGGACTAATTCTAGAGACTTAGGCTCTCGTTCTCAAGAAGAGCAAAAGTCAACTAAACACAAACTAGTGTTTGCAACCACTAATTTAGCAATTAAACATGGAATTAGCCCAAATATCAAACACCCATAGTCAATCAAGCTCTAAAATACAAGACCCATCAATTACCCACACTAGGGTTGAGCCACAACCCTAGNGCTATGTTCTGATACTATCTGCTTGACCTAAAAATGGAAAAGAAGCTATTTATACTAAGCTGACAATTCTGGACAAAAATGCCCCTGCGGGGTTAGTGCGGACCGCACATAATGGTGTGCGGCCGCACTAGGGCTCTGAACCTCAAAATCTGACTCTCTGAACTCAGGCATTACGGACCGCACAGGATGGACTTCGGCTGCGGAGGCTTCTTGTGCGGTTCGCACAAAATCGACTACGGACCGCATTGGCTTGAAACTCTGAAAATGGCATCTCTCTGATCTTGTGTTCTGCAGACCGCACTAAATCGAGTGCGGCCGCATTGCCTTCAGTGCGGATCGCACAAATCCTAGTGCGGCCGCATTTCCTTTATGCTTGAAATTCCACCTCTCTGAATCTCCTAGTGCGGACCGCACAAAGTGGTGTGCGGTTGCACTGGGCCTGTGTTGCCTGAGCTTGTTTTGTCTTTGGCACTTGTGCAAGTTTCACTCCTTTTGAGCTGATCTTTGACATCTTATCCTTTTGTTGATCAAACCTGCAATCAAGTACAACTTGTGAGCCTTTTGGGACTATTTTGTATGAATTTCGAATCAAAGTATAAGCAAGAAGGAGTATAAAATGCGTCGAAATCCCTAGTTATCACCCAGTCACTATCACAGAAAGCAGACAAAGAAAGAGATGGAGAATTGCCGTAGAACACCCCAACATCAGAAGTACCTTTGAGGTATCGAAGTAAATGCAAAGCAGCCTTCATGTGGGAAGTACAAGGGGCCTGCATGAACTCGCTGAGATGTTGGACAGCAAAGCAAAGGTCAGGCCTTGTGTGAGTCAAAAAGTTCAACTTTCCCACCAAGCTTCTATAAGAGTTAGGAGAAGGCAGGGGATCACCCATGGCAGCCTTCAATTTAGAGTTCAAATCCAAAGGACAAGTCACAGGAGACAACATATGTAGATCTCTGATAAACTTTCTTTGATATAGTAATAGCCTAGAAGGAAGATATGCCACTTCTATGCCAAGAAAGTAGTTAAGAACACCCAGATCCTTGATTTTGAACTGATTGTCCAAGAAGAGTTTCAAAGCAGAGATTTCTTCCAAATCATCACCAGTAAGTATTATATCATCCACATAAATGACAAGGAGGACAGTGGAACCACCTGATCTTCTGATGAAAAGGAAATAGTCATTCAAAGAATGGAGATAACCCCTAGAACACAAAGCATGAGACAGCTTGGCATACCACTGCCTAGATGCCTGTCTCAAACCATACAAAGATTTTTGAAGATGACAAACCAAATTAGAAGACTGACCAGATGAAGCAACGCTCTCAGCAGACAAACCAGGGGGCAATTTCATGTAGACCTCCTCATCCAAGTCCCTATGCAAAAATGCATTATTTACATCAAGTTGAAACATAGACCAATTCCTTTTCACAGCCACAACAATGAGACATTTAACAGTAGGAAATTTGATGACTGGAGAAAAAGTTCCATTAAAATCTACACCCTCCACCTGTGTATTACCCCTAACAACCAACCTAGCGTTATATCTTTCTATAGACCCATCAGCCTTATATTTTATCTTATAGACCCATTTACAACCTATGGGTTTCTTGCCAGGAGGTAATTCAACAATGGACCAAGTATCATTAGCCTCAAGAGCCTCAAATTCCTTTCTCATGGCCTCTTGCCAAGCTGGAATAGAAGCTGCCTGATGGTAAGCTTGGGGTTCCAGGCCAGCGAACTAACTGAACTTTGAGAACAAAAGGGAGAAGAACTAGAGCCACATAGAGAAGGAGACAGACTGCAAACATACTGTTGAAGATGACTAGGAGTGACATGATTTTTGGTGGATCTCCTGACAGGAGCTGGAGACAGACTAGGGGCAATAGGAGGAGCAGGAGCAGGTTCAAGGACAGGAGAAGAGTGAGGAACAGACACAGGAGAAGTAATAGAAGAAAAAGAGGGGGAAGCAACAGGTGTTGAGGACGAGACAGGATCAGGTTCATGAGAAGAGGTGTAATGAAACTCATCGGAAAAGAAAGGAATAGGAGAAGAAGATGATGTAGAAATAACATATGAAGGAGAGACTGAGGCAAAAGGGAAAATACCCTCATGAAACACTACATCTCTATAAATAAAGGTTAGTTTAGTAGCTAGGTTGTAAAGTTTATAACCTTTCTTAGCCAAGGGATATCCCAGGAAAACACAAGGATCGGCTCTAGGCTGAAACTTGTCCTTGTGACACTTAGGAATTTTGGAGAAACACAAGCAACCAAAGGTTCTAATGTGAGTATATGAAGGGGGTTTCCTAAAGAGTAATTCAAAAGGAGTTTTATTGGCAAGCAACTTGGAAGGGAATCTATTAATGAGGTAAGTGGTAGTGAGGACACAATCACCCCAGAACTTAATAGGTAACTTGGATTGAAAAAGTAAAGCTCTAGAGGTTTCCAACAAATGCCTATATTTTCTTTCAACTACCCCATTTTGTTGTGGTGTGTGTGGGCAAGATGTTTGGTGAACAATGCCATTGTCAACAAAGAATTGGCCAACAAGAGCACCAGACCCAATTCAAGAGCATTATCACTTCTAATAGTTTGAATGCAAGTTTGAAATTGTGTTTTGACCATGGCAACAAAAGCTTTAATCACAGGAAAAGCATTACTTTTAGACCCCATAAGGTGAGTCCAAGTGGCTCTAGTGAAATCATCTACTATAGTCAAAAAATATTTGCACCCATTGTAAGTAAGAATGCCATATGGTCCCCAAGTATCCACGTGTACAAGTTGGAAGGGATGAGAAGTTTTGATAGAGCTATCAGGAAAGGATAGTCTAGGTTGCTTAGCTAAGGGACAGATACAACAAGTAAAAGGCTGTTTGGAGGAAAATTTGCATGGAATGGATGAAATATCCTTCATTCCGACAAAGGGGATATGCCCCAACCTATTGTGCCATAAAATCTCCATTTTATTCAAATCAGAATGGTATGTACAATGATTATCAGTTCCAATGGCAGCAAATGGAGAATGGTATTTACAATTGGAAGACATAGAAGAACAAGTAGGAAAACTATTACAAGCAGCAGCAAGAGCAGTAGAATCGTCCCTTTAAAACATGTGAAAATAGCACGAGCTAACCAGTTTTCGGATTGGTAATTGAAAAATAGCTAGCGTTTGCAAAGTCATTGAAAGATAGCCACTATTTTGCTGCAACGCGGAAAGTTCCAGCATAATATACTGGAGATTGGTGCACCTGTGTATGAACTTCCAGCACATTATGTTGGAACTCCAACACACGAAAAGTTCCAGCATAATATACTGGAGATTGGAGCACATGTGTATGAACTTCCAGCATATTATGCTGGACCAGTATATTATACTGGAACTCCAGTATATTATGCTGGAAGTTCAGTATATTATGCTGGAAGTCCAATATATTATACTGGAACTTCAGTATATTATGCTGGAACTTCGGTATATTATGCTGGAATATTTTATTTTGAACAGTGTTTTAGTTCAGATTTATCATTACATGAAAAGTGGCTAAATTTCGATTACTTTTGAAACTGTGACTATTTTTCAATTATCACTTGTATATCTGGCTATTTTTGAATTTCACCCTTAAAATATGAGTTAAAATGGGTTAATCCATTTTCTAGCCGCAATATAATAAGTTGAAAACGGTTTGACAACAAGTCGAAAACGGGTCAAGAAAGGTAACCACTGCATTTTCACGCGGTAAGTAACCACTATCACTTGATTCTATTAAGTCTTCTTTTTTTGGTTGCATCAATACTTTACATTCGGTTATCAATAAGAAAGATCCTATCCAAACGACGAACTTTAATGCATTAGGGTAATTGAATGAATTCGATAAGATTATAATATCTACGTACGTATATACAGTGGCGAAGCCAGAAAATTCTCCAAGGATGTTCAGACCTGAAAAAAGTAAAAACGTTTCTTGACAAAGGATGTTTAATATATGTTATATACATCTAAAATCTAAAAGTTTACTCTTATATACAATATAATTTTTCGTAATATTTCGATGAAGAGTAGTCAATTGACAACCCTTAGCAAAAGGTGACTTCGCCCCTACGTACATACATATGCGATTGTAGTAGTTTGGTAGTTTAACGTTTTGAAACGCAGAGTAGAAGAATATAATCGCTCGTAAGTAGGTTTTAGAACAAGGTCTTGTTGATGCAAGGATTTGTTTAACTACTCAATATTGTATTATTTCTATTAATTAACGGAGAACTGAAATTATTGTATATGATCAACATTAGTATAAGCTTTAACTAAACTATCTATGTGATTAAAACAACCACCAAATACTTCTAGAAGACTCTATATATAGCTGCTGGGACTACTATGAACTACGTATTATGAAATGAAGGTCTAGAATACTTGCTAGTTTTAGCAAATTGATCTCTATATCCAAATTGCATTAGCTTTAAGAAGCAAATTCTTGAGTTTGCCTCTAACATTAAGACTCATAATTTCATTAGAACCACCAGCAAAATCTTTCCCAATGAAAACTGCTGGCACACTTAGTTGACACCCTAATTCAATCAATGCGTTCTCCATTTGCCTCCCATTTGGAAGTTTATCGAGCTCGTAAACTGTAGGGTTTGCTCCAAAACTTCGGATTAGGGTTTCGATAGTGTGAGACATGCAGCAAGTGGTTTTGCTAAAAATCACCACTGGACTTTCTGCTCCCAACTTCATCACCATATCCATCTTTAGACCTCAAAAGAGAAGTTATATGTTTTTTTTTTTGCTTTTTTTTTTTTTTTTTTTGTGAAGAAGTGTAACTGAAAATAAAGAAAAATGTGACGCCTAGTAGAGAGAAAAGCTGTTTGTATTGAGTTTGAGGCTTTAATTGTTATGAGAAACCTGAAGTAGTAGAAAGGCTATATATAAGGCTTAAAGTGGTGCATGTCGGTGGATGTGCAAATTATTCCTTGATCATCATCTATTTTTCAAAAAGGAACAATTCGTCTTCTCTAGGACTTGTTAATTTTGTCATGTTGTAGTCCTAATAATTTTCAACGAAATATTTTACTGTTCGAATTGAATTCCTGGAAACAAACATTCTTTTACTATTTTATGATCCGATCCATACACAGTATGATTACGATATCATTATTTAATATAGAGAATGAGCACAACTACATATATACTGTAGTGATTGACAAGAAAGATCCTTTTATGTCTTAATCTATTAGTCTTAAAAAGTGAAAGATTGAGCATAGATATGTGCAATCTGCAGTCTGGTGCACAAGGTGTCTGCGTTCATCAATGTGCGAGAAGAGGTGCACCCCTTCAGACATGTGATGTAGACACCCTATTCTAATGCAAGTATTAATGGTCACTTTTACAGCTCGAACTCGTGACCAATAGGTCACACGGAAATAATTTTATAGTCACTCCAAGGCTCCCTTCAGAATATAGATATCTTCTCAAACTAAAAAATTAATATTTTTAATTAAATTCTTTTTTAATCCCATAATACATAATCGCATTTATTGATTTGGGAAATGGAAGCCGAGATATCCTAAAAACATGCTGTTGCATAAAGTCCATAATATTATCCGTACCAAGAGAAGACAAAAGGAGGAGGTATCATATATTTACAAAATTGACTTTGCTTTAATTAGCTGGACGGGAATAAATGCCTTTTCAAATATTCCAAACAGTAAATCACATGATAAGAAGAAGAGTACTACTATACATATTGTTCTCCTTATCATCAAGGGATTCTTCTCTCCTAAAGAAAAAGGGTCTTAATTAGCAAGAGAAAAAGGGTCGATTGCTACTTCGAAAGGCCATATATTATCTCCTCTTTGGTCCTTTTACGGAGAAGAGGTAATATGGGAGAATGATCACCTACTTCTAGAGGTGGAACTAAAGTTTAAGGTACGGGTTCGGCTGAACTCAGTAATTTAAATTTAGATTTTATATTCATCTTAATAAATTATTGTATGAATTATTAATTTAGAACCAATAACTTAAAATGATTAGAATTTCGAATTCATAAGATTCTAATCCTGACCCACCTCTAGCTACTTCAATTGATCTCCGCAAAAACTAATTTGTGTGATCATTTTTCCTCAGCTATTTCTCCTTTTTTCTATGTGGTAGTAAGCCCATAGGCGGATTTATTATTCAATATATGAGGCACGTGGACCCATGGTATTTCCGCTAAATTAGGTATTTTATATATATATATATATATATATATATATATATATATATATATATATATATATATATATATATATATATATATATATATATATATATATATATATATATTACTTTTCAAAATTCATCTAAAATTATCATGTTTGGGCCCCAACATGCCTCTTAAAAGGTGAATGATGCACTTGGTTGAATGCTGAGTTATTACCTAGAAGAAAGGGACCAATTCCCACTTAATATATTTTTTCTCCTTTCTTTACTAGCGCACCCCTATTTTAGAAATTCTAAGTCTGCATCTGATAGGAACACTCTAATTAAGTGGTAGCTGTGAGCATGTGATTTTTGCCTTGCACGAATTACTCCTACAGATTTCTTTAATTTATGATTTTTTCTTTTAATTGTTTAATTTGTAAGAATTAATTGCACAATTTTCGTGTTTATTCGCATTTTTACTGTGAGCATTTTAGTTGACATGATTCATAGAAAATAGTACAAAAATTCGCATTGCATTTGCATTTAGGATTTTATCTTATTAATTAGTAATTAGGATTTCACAAATATATATAAAATCACAAAAAATAGAGTTATTTTTTGCTTTTGTTTAATTTGTAACTTTGATTTGGTTAGATTTCTTTTAAATTTGGTATTTTAATTAATTTTTATCAATTATTAAATAGATTGGGTAGGTTAATTTAGTTTAGAATTAATTTAGATTTTTAAGCTTTAATTTGAAAGAAAAAGAAAACAAAAATCAAAAGAAATTGAGTCTTTTTACTTTAAAAGGCCCAAATGTTGGGCCAGTCTCTGATCTAACTCCCCAGGCCCAAAGAAAACCCGGTCAAAATACCCAAGTCCGGCCCAAAACCCATCCCGCTAACCAGTTCCAAAGCCCCCCCATCAACCAAACGACGTCGTTTCATCCAAAATAATCAGGACCGTCGAGGTAAGGAGATCCAACGGCCCCGAAGTGGGATATCATAAGTATAAAGCTGTCCGAACCAACCCCCCCCACCCCCTCATCTCTCTCCTCTCTTCAAACCCTAGAGACCGCCTGTCTCCGCCCTGAGCCACCGTCCGCCGCCGCCGAAAATCGCCCACGGCGGCGGCGATTCTCCAATAATACCCAAAATCACACCAGAACCCCTTCTTCCCCCCCTGTCACGAATCCACCACGATCTTCCTTCAAATCCCATCGGAGCCTTTCGAAACTTCAAAACCCTAACGCCGCCACAGTTTCGCCGGTGGCGGCGCCGCCTCCAAACCCCCTCGAAACAACACCCCATAGCCCCCATGCCTCCCTCATGCCTAATATGTCATTGGTTTCCTTTGAATATGCCCAAAATTCTTCAAATATTAAATCCGAGACTTGAGCCTTAGGAGTCCAAAATTGGATCTATGCATACAAGGTCACTCTTCTGCATTTCCTCGTTTGTTCAATCCTGTTGTGACACAAAAGAATGGCACTCGTTTGGCATGGTTTTAGGTCAAATCAGAGTACTAGTTTCGATTCCGAGCTTAGCCGGTGAGTCCCTTTCATGTTTTGTTTTTTTTCTCTTCTTTTGTTCTCTTTTTCTTCTTTTTTTTTGTTTGTGATTCACTTTCGTTCTTCTTCCCTCTTTGATTAAGATCATTTCCATCGAGACTAGGTCAAGGTCTTGAACCCATGACCTCTTTTCTTAGTGCTCGCTTTCCCCTAAAATTTGTTTTCTGATTTTCTAAGTTAATTTAGTTTTGTTAATAGCATGTTTAAATCTTTGATTTCTTATTCTGATCACATAGGTTAATTTGATTAGGTTTATTTTGATAGTTCAATTAGTCCCCTGTTTGTTGGTAATCGTTTGATTAATCAATTTGTTTGGACCCATGTCGGTCTTTAGTGTAAATACAGGGTGTTTAAGGGGTAACTTGGGTAATGCACTGAGAGAATCTCTCAAGTAACTGCCCAAGGGGCTTCCTAGAAACTTCTAGTAGGGGGTTTGCTAGTAAATTGTAGGTCTAACTTGACCAACAATTCATAAATTAAAGGACTAAAGTGTAAAAAATAAAGTCTGAAGTTGCCCTAGTAACTTGCCTATAAAGGCATTGTTACTTGGAGTACAATACAGATTTTTAAGCATTGAAAAACTCTAGAAATTTGGGGCGGCTGAACCCTGAAATTTACTACTCCATTGAATTTTTTGGGTGAATTAGAGATTTCCAAGTCTTGAATCACAATTCCAGCTCACATAAGTTTGAATATGGACTAGCTTTCCTTGTGCTTTCAGTAGTTAGAATTGCAGAGAATTTTAGAGTATCATTTTGAAGTTAACTGGGCTATTCAAGTCGATTTCTGGGTCTTGTTACTGGTTTTGGTGGCTGTGACTTCGATTTGAGATTGTTGTTGCTCTTGTTGCTTAACACTGCTGCTTCCTCTTGCTGTTGCTGACCCCTTTCTTTTACTTTGCTCAATTCCAGGTACATTTGTAATCCCTAATGGCTCATTCAATGCATGTGAATACTTGTGAAATCCAAATGATGAAGCAATTCGATCATACGAATCTGTTTTGGCTTCCATTACTAGTTAATGTGTAGTTGTAGTTTCATTTAAATAAATGAGTATTGGTGTTAGATAGGACTATGTGTGTTATTTAGGGCTGTTTAAATTTGTTTGGTAGTTAAATCGGACAGATTGTGGATTGTATAACCAGGATTGCCTGTAGAATGTTAAGTTTGTCATGAGTTAATTCTATGTGTATAATTTGGACTGTTGAACTGTTATTAATTGGAGTTACTAGACCATTCTCTTCACTTCGTACAAGTAGGAGCTAATTTTACAATATCACATGCAGTATCAGTTTGAGCTACAATATTAGGAAATAGAAATGCTTAGGATTCCATATCAAATGTCTTGCTGGATATAATAGTAACATTATAATAATCCCGAGTTCCAGTATTGATTTTCAGTTTTTGTTTAGTCAATACTAGATTTGTTTGAGAGGTACACGGATTAGGTCTAAAGGCCTATCACAATTCCAGATTAAGTGCTAATACATAACTTGAGTATTAATTGACATGTGAATCTGGGCATTAGCTTAGTTTGATTGTAAATATTTGGACCATCAAGATAGGCCCAATGTGCACTGCAGCTGAAGGCCTATCCGGTTTTCTTGCCTCATTCTGGAATATGAGCCCAAAGTTTGGCTGCATCATGAACGTAGACTGCCTAGCTCAGACAACAGGATTGCTTCATGTTTGGGTCAATTCTTAGGCCCAAAAAATTGTTATAAGTCAAAAACCCCTTTTAAAGTTACATCAGAAATATGGGAGTTGGTTTGCAAGTATAAATTTAGGTTTTCGAGTTAGGTAGCGGGTTCAAACTAAGAGGGTCTACCCTTTTGTTTGAATTCGGACTTGAACTTGAGACCCGAATTCATAAATGCAAATTAATTAGCCCTTTTAGGGACAAATAATAAATAGAAAATCATAGTTACTTTAGGACTGGCCTTTAAAATAAATAAATTGAGATGAGCCTCGCCAAACGAAATGCAAAACTTGCGGGGCCCTCATTAAACATTTTATTAAAATAT